TTCTCATTTGTACTTCCATCTTCGTTGGCTTCACTCTCATCTGTACTCCTCGTCTTCATCATTGCATTCAGGTGACAAGTCCACCGTGCACCACGCCGTCTACGGCGGCATCAGAGACATCACATGCAAGTACCGAGGCGCGAACACGAGAAGCCTCAAGCGCCGCTGTGGACCGTAGCTCTTCCCCATCAATCGTCCAAACTCGGTCTCCACGTCGAACACACCTTGCACGAGTGGCGCAGTGGCAACCACATCCCAAGAAGAGAAAATCGTCTAAGTCCACCCAATGAGGAAACAGCTTGCTTACTAAGTGTTTAGAAAAAAAAATCGTCCCGGGCGTTTGTCAATCGAAATAAACCTTGAATGACCATTGATCAATCGGAACTTGTCTTGTCCATCTGCTTCTACCCACCAAGTTGTCTCATTGCTTCGCTGACTCGTCTTATGGCGCTGCCATTTGACATACCAATCAGAGCCATGTAGCCCTAGAGAGTCAAAGCCAAATAAGTTTCGTATGGAAAAGAAATGGGATTTATTTCAAAATAAATGATTTTCTGGTCTTTGGGCTGCTATGGCATCCACAGGAAGCGTATGAACACAAGAGCACCCTCGTTTGATCCGCAAAAATTTAGCGCTTCTGCTGTGCTTGATTTGAAACGCACAGCAGACAGAATCGCCGAGCACGACCCGAAATACTGACTGCCAATTAATCGCACCTGCCTCAATCCCAAGAGCAATATGTTGTTACAAAAAGGGAATACATATGTTACTTTCAAGGAGGTGACCGAACTATCCCGCTGAACAACATATTAAGGTACATTCAAGATCGATTTGATTTCTGACATTCGGCGATTCCGGTATCGTTGGAAAGAGGAGAAAGAGGGCTTTCTGGTGCCTTTGAGACGGTGGACGAAGCTGCCCTGTGGGCCGAGCTAGCCTCACACCAGCGCGTCCGTAAGGATTTTGCCAGGGGTTCCGATGGAGAGTTTTTGACTGAGTTTCTCAGCAATGGCACGACCCAGCCTATTTGAGGTCACTACAACCCGGCGACCGTTGCGCCAATTGACTTGAGATTTTGACAGAGGCTGCATGAGACGAGACACTACACAAATGGTCCAAACACCCCCGTAGGTCCATTTGGCCCAAAAGCGACAAAATCTCAGATTATTGACCAACATTTGTGCAAATCGTAATTCGAGCTTACACAAAATTATTTATCGTTGGACTTGCCATTGTAACCAAGTGTGTAGCAGACATTCAAGCAATAGACTCCTACGGAAATGATAGTTTTGAAGGAGATAAGACAAATGTCACAATTTTGTTGTCTTAACTCGTTTTGTTCCTGCGGAGGAGATAAAATTGAGATGATAAGTTTCACCGGTGTGAACATGTGTTCTCTCTGCCCTCATGTCCAATTGCAAACATATGTTTTGTGCATTTGACCGTTATGATGGCTCTCCTGGAGGCCACTGGATGTGTCTCGGACGTGAGTCGAGAGTCTTCGGTTTCGTGTCTGCGCGAGTGCTCAACCGCAATCGACCCTGTTATGTTAGATGTGTGCAACATAATGAGAGATCGCTTCTCCCTGTGGTTCCTCATATGCCCTCGGCACATAGGATTTCTTCGTCGTGTTCCCTTTTCCGGACGATGTCTGTATCCCTTCTGCTCCGAACGCCACGGCGCTTCGGGAGCAAGCATTTATCTCGGCGGTATTTCATATCGTTCGGATTGCAGACGAGTTCAAGCTTGCGATGTGGGCATCGAACAATGAGGAAGGACGTCGTGCCCGTCTCAAGATACCCTTGGGACCAGGTTATTCGCGTTTTCGGGGTCTCGATCCGAGCCTAGCAGATACACTCGCAAGATATCAAACGAGGTACATGCAGTTTTTGCATTCTGATGATATGTCTTGATGTCTGACCTTGTGTTTATTATCCTCGGTGTAGTCCTGGCGACGAACGTCTTTTCGCCCTGTGTCGAGAGCGGTATACATGTGATAAGCGGGTCGACAACGGACAAGGTCAAGAAGTTGGCCTCGTGCGCAAGGTGCCTTCAAAGGATATTGCCGAGAAAGGCGAAATCATCTACGCACAGCGACACCTCCAGATCTGTGCTTTTCTGACTTGCCTCGGCTCCAGGTTTGTTTGATCGTCGCTGCTGGCATAAACACGAGCAAGTCTTATTTTTCTTCCCATGTCGCACGCTGTAGTCTGCGCCCTTTCGTGAATAAGCTCCGAGCTGCTTTTTCGGGTGAGAAACAACACGAACTGGGGCGGCCTCCCGCGCCTGGACTGGGGCCTGCGGAAGAAGCAGCCGAGTTGTTGTTTTTCGCAGAGGCCATGATCGCCAGCACGTATCTGCACCTGAAGTCGGTGCGGGCAGATATGTTGTCCATCTCCATGCACTTGTCGCGCAATAATCAGACCTCAAACCGGATTTTGAAGGTCTTGTTCGCAACACTTGGTTCTCTATTGGATTGGTTTTCGGAGGATTTCCCTGAAAATTGTGAACCTGGCGAACAAGGCACATCCGGTTACCAGCCAGCTGCTATTTGGATACATGTAAGATGATGCTCGGCCAACCGCAATATCATAATGGAATCACATGCACGTGACAAGCTAATTTTTGTTGTTGCTTTGTAGCTGAGCCATTATTCCAAAACATGGGAGTCCATGCGACGCATGCGAAACGCCGTATTACATGGCGTATCCATCGGTGCGCTCAAAAAATACCGGGCAAATGCAGAGCAAGGCACCATCATGGCAAATTCCATCCCTGAGAAAGCTTTGCTGTTCTGTCTTCAAGCCGATCTGTCTGATTCGGGGCACACCGACAGCGAAGTCCCAGTACTCAACGATGGCCAATCAAAAAAAACTAGGCGGCGGGTCAAGTCTCGCTCGCGTGCCAAACGCGATAGTATTGGTGCGATGCAGGCTTCCCATGCGTCTGTCACATTGTGACAAGCCGTCGTAGGCGTCTAATAATGTGATCTGAACTGGTTGTAGATATCGACTTTTTGGATGAGAACAACGGCGACTTGCCTATCCCAATCAAGCGTGTTTTGCAGGATTTCAAAGATTACGGCGAGGCACATGCGCGTGACCGGGAGGCTCAGGACGCGCGCCGTCGAAAAAAAGATCGACGACGCTCCAAAAAAGACCGAGCACTTCTGCGCGAGGCGATGAAGGTGATCAAGCAGCAGAGCGTAGCGCAAGCCGAGATGATGAAGCAGCAGGGCGTAGCGCAAGCCGAGATGATGAAGCAGCAGAGCGTAGCGCAAGCCGAGATGATGAAAGAGGTTTTGGCGGTTTGCAAAACCCTTGCGCCGCCGACTGTGGCATCCGCATCGGGAGGTCCATCGCCACCCACCCCTTCCTCCCCAACACGAAACGTGTATTTTCGCATCGGGGGTGACATTGGACAAATGATCACCAAATAAAGTGGGGGCAGCCTGGACATAGCATAATCAATTCAAATGAAGCATGTCATATGAATGACGGTGTCTGATCAAGACAAAGTAGTGAATTTATGAGTCATGGCTCAAGGGCCGGGGGCCACACATGCTCGTCGGCCATGAGCCTGTGAGATATTCTTGCATCGTTGGGCCGTTGGCAACCTGAAATCGATCCGCTGTCATATTCACCACTCCAGTTTTCCATCGTTGTAATATGACCAGGTTGTGCATCAAGTGAATGAAAATAAACCGATTGTTCAGATCTGACTGTGCGATGCCGCATGATTTGCTTCTCAAGCGTCGGAAGAAGAACTTGACACCTGAATGCATTGTTGATACAATCGTCACATAGGANAGCATGAGCATTGAACTCAAAGCTACGATTTCAGGCAAGCAGGATTGGTTCGAACCGTATCTGCTCCATGATGTGCTCAACGCTGACACGGACAGCCTTGGCTTGACGCTCATAGTCCTGCGAAACTCAAATCAAGTGAGCAAGGGTACTCGATAGAGGACAGCGCTCAAGACAAGATTAGAGCGCACGTGGCAGTCGGCATTCGACGATGGGTTTGCGATTACAAGCCCGCGAGTTGGAGTGTGCGTATAGCCGCAGTCTCCAAGAAGCACATGATGGGCCGGCCAATGTTCCTGGACCAGTTCAAGCGTGCGACTCAGACGTATCATCTTCCTAAAATGTGAATTAACAAAGATGATAATTTGAATCATATTGGACGTGTATTGTAGGGAGAATGCGAATAACCTTACTTGTCGTTGACAGTCCCAGGATATGGGCCGTGGACGCTGACCCCAAGGCCACTAGCGTCAGTGATAATCTGGCCTTTGAGCGCATGCATCTGGTTCGTATCAAAGATGAAACACAACAAGACGCGTTCATCAATGAGATTCAGCCCAAAGCTGAAATCAACACAACAACGGTACACACACGATGATTGCCGTCGTAGTTCACCCGCTGGTTACGGTTGCGACCACTGGGCCTGAAGATCGGATACACGGTTCCGTCGACAAAGGCAGCGATGCGTGGCGGGCAATTGGGTTCTGCGCGTAGTCGGGGAGCGAGGAAATGGCCAACACCTTTGCCCTGGTATGCCTCGATGTGTCTTGCACTCCACGCAACATACTCATGCATCGTCAGCCAAGGATGCCATAAGACTAGCGGTTTGAAAGCGGTGGCAACGGCATCCTCAATGCTCGCTACGCACGCACTGACAACCACTTCACTCACAACAAGCCCCATCAGTTCCACGATATCGCGGTATGTCCGCTCACAACTCGTGTTGTATGCAAGGGTGCATTGTAAAGCGACATTAAAAGGGAGTGGACGCTGCTTTCTGGCACGCATAGCAGATTGATACCTATGGTGGAGCAGCCACAACCACGAAAGACATCATTGCATGATATCGAAGTTTTAAGCAGATATGATATCGAGGAACGTGCAGACAGGGTGATAACATACGCTTCAACAAGAGGGGATTGTGCGGCGTCTTCCATTGCCTCAACAGCCTCGTGTATCGCAGCCAAAGAATGAAATGCAAACAGGGATCGGAATCGGTCCATGTCGTGGAGGGCTGCGGGCAAATGCTGACCGCGAAAAGTGGCAACAATCCTCGGTCGTATGGTCTCAAAATCTCTCAGCGATATTCGAGATGCCTGCTCTGCTGCGATCACGCTAGCCAAACGCCAAGCCCAATCATACTGATCGGGGCGAGTCGAATCAAGCAAACGCAACAACACCTGTTCAAACACGGCCCAGTACTTCTTCACCGCCAAACGGCGAATCGTGGCCTTCTCGAGAGTATCATAGTTCTTGCTAGACATGAACGCTTTGAGGACCAGATGTTTCCGCAACAAGCGCCGAGCTGCCGACGCTTCCATGGCGCCGATCAGCGAAAAGTATGACATTTTCTAACGGTCATTATTTTATCTTCTGACCCACCAGGTTTAGACAAGCTTTCCAGCGTCTCAAGAGATTAATTTTAGCCAGCATCCTTCAGCATCCCGGGCGCTACTAAATGTTCGTATTTTAATCCCCTTGTTTATCTTAAAAACGCTGTTTCCGTAGGAGCCTAATCAAGGCAGCATGTAGCATGTGCCACCAACACCAAACCTCGGAGCTACGTCCATTGTCCAACCGTCACACACACACACACACACACACACACGCTTTGGACGTGCGAAAAGTATGATGTCAAAAAAACCTTTTCAATTGAAGACTTTGATACACTTTGATACACTTTTACCGTCTATTTTGGACAGATTTCTGTCAGAAGTGGGACAGATTCTGTCGATAAATCAAAATGCTATGGAATCTCACCCCTTAACATAACAGTTGTGCACATCGTTCGATGCACACCAGATGTGGCTTTGCGCTTGAAAAATGCAAACAAACACACACATGGAAGACACGGAGGCTCCGCGGCGTCTCTTGCTTGATCCTCAACTCAACCGCTACATGAAATTAAGCCACACGTCCCTGTCTCCTTTGGCTATCATTTTACAGTTAATTCTGTTGCATGTGGGTCGCGCGGACAACACCATCCAGATGCTGGCGCCGCTAGAACACACCGCCGCAATCACGGCCAGCGCTCTTGCTCTCGCCTCGCTTTCTTATGGAGAGTGCACAAACTGACTGTTCCTATCCCGCTTGCATCCCGCTAGCCACCGCCACCATGCTTTGGCTGCAGCTCGCCGCGCTACCCTTGGTCTTGGTAACTGCCATCTCACCCATCACAACCACCTCAATGCCCTCGACCAGCGCACTTACAACCAGCGAAACCCTCACCACCATCGTCACCACCACCGTCGACTACATGAATCAAAACTGCGCCTGCACAAACGCCAGCCTCTTCTCCGACAACGAGCGCATCGCCGCGTGCCGCAAAGATCTCCTGGTGGATGTGATTGACACCATTATCAATAACACCTTTGAGGATCGCCTCGTGCAGGTTGCCCTTCCGTCATGGCCCGATATCCGTTCCTTAAACCTGATATTGCATCGTGCTTCTCCCCAACTCCCTCCTCTATTCGATGTTTTGCAATCTGTGCCCAAAGTCCTCATTGTGCATGGACCTGATTGACCAAACGCCCTTTTCGTGTTTTTTTTTTTTTTTTCTGCTGGTTCTCTAGCTTGAGCGTGCCGCCTTTGGATACTTCTACTATGGGGACGTTGACTGCGACGTCTCCGTTCTACCAGAAGGCATTACCCACATCGTCGGCAACGTCAACTTGGAATCCTGCACAAGCCTCGATACCGCCAACCTGACCATCTTCTCCACCGTCCGCAACATCTCCGGCGAACTCAGCATCAAGGTTCCTCGTCATTAGGCCCTTCTCATGCTTGCCTCTCGCTTCTTCGTCGTTCGGCGTCACATTACGACCAGCCAGCTGCGCCAACCTCACGCCTGTTTGCTGTTCCACCCCAACCTCGTGCTAGCAAAACACGTTTACAAGTCTAGCCAGCTTCAGCGCCCTGACATGGGTGGGCTCTTTCATTGAACTCAAGGCAAGACTAGGGACTGTTTATGCTTGACCTTCTTTGGGACCCCTGTATACCCGCTTACACCACACTTCTCATGTCACGCCCAATACTTAGGGAAACGATGCCCTCACCACGATGGACGGTTTCAACGAGCTCACCGCCGTCGGAACCTACCTTCAAATCACGGTCTGTCACTCTGTCATCCACCGCTTTCTCCCATATCACTGTGTCCCACGAGCCCAGACAGGCACCAGTGTGCATATCATCTGCTCCCGATCTGGCTTCGTTCAATGCTTTTGGATCTGTACCACCAGCTTGGAGCAACGTGAAGGCGAGGCTCATACAAATCAACCTGTAAATGACCTTGTGTCGCGTTAGGATCACGACGCATTGGCCGACCTCGATGGCTTTGGTAACTTCACACGGACAGAAGGAAAATTATACCTCAAGGTGGGCTTGAACTGCATTTTCCCAGTGCCTTGCCTGATGCACTTTCCTTATGCGGCACCGGCGCGGTTCGAAAGGCTCTGGGTGCCTTGACCAACATTGACGGCTTTAGTAGCCTGACCCATGTTGGCGACGACTTCTACATCAAGGTCGGTGTGGGTGCTAGCATGCAAAGCGGTGATACCAGGAAGTTGCCATCCTGCTCATGGAGCACCAAACCGCCTTCAACCGATGCACACCCGTTTGCATGTAGGACTTGGATTTGTTGACTGACTTTTCGGGCTTTGCCGAGCTTGCGTACATTGGAGCCAAGTTTGAAATCAATGTAAGGCTGAGCGGGGCAAGCCACCACCTTTCACCGCCTTCCTTGCCTTTGATCGCTTGGTGGAAGCTGAGGTGAAAACATCCTGTCCTGGAATGGTTTCCTGACGCTAGAGCAACGACTTGTTGACCACGCTCGGGTTCACCAAGTTGAACCACATTGGCAAATCCATGACGATCCAAGTACGAAACGAACAAACCTTCAAGCATCCTCGGGCAGCGAACAAAGTGTGCCACCCCCTATATTCTTAACCGGAGCACGTTTCCTGCTACTCACAACTTTATAGAATCACGATGAACTGCTCAACGTTGACGGTCTGGATGGTATCACAACTCTGGGCAGCGATCTCACGATCAAGGGCAACGAGAAACTGGCGAACATTAACGACCTAGGCGAGCTGTCTGAGGTTTACGGCAACGTCGAGATCAAGGTTCTAATGCCCCCCCCCC